ACTCCACTGAACTGCGATCAGCCATTTGCTGGGTGCTGAGAGTTAAAAAATCACAAGGCCTGCCATTGACTGAGGGTGCAGTGTGTGCCAGGAGAAGTGCTCGGCCCTCCTGTCTCGACCCATGAAATAGTTCTGTCAGGTCACAGGGCAGAGGTGGCAGTGCTGGGATGGGGACCTAGTTGTGTTCTGTTGCTAAACCTGTGTTCTCTCCACTGTGGCACCAAGCTCCTCAGAAGTTAATAAATGAGGTGGGAAGTACAGAGCTTAGGACATGGTGAAAATGATAAACAGAGAGGGGAGGAAGGAGGCGGATGGCAGGCTGGGTGGGTGCATGGATGAATGCATGGATAGATAGGTGGATGAGTGGAAGGATGATGGGTAGATGGATGGGTGGGGAATGGATGGATGGGTGGGTAGGTAGATTGATGTATGGATGGATGGATGAGTGGGTGGATGGATGAATGGATGAGTGGGGAATGGATGGATGTGTAGGCAGGTAGATGGATGGATGGAGAAGTGTAGATGTGGAGAGATGACAGCTGAATAGACTTAGAACATGGATTCAATATGATCTCAACCCTCGAGGATCTTTTTTTTGGTGAGGAAGATTAGCTCTGAGCTAACATCCATTGCCAATCCTCTTTTTGCTGAGGAAGATTGGCCCTGAGCTAATATCTGTGCCCATCTTCTCCTACTTTATATGTGGGACGCTGCCACCACATGGCTTGATAAGTGGTGCAAGGTCCATGCCCGGGATCCGAACATGCGAACCCCAGGCCGCCATAGCGGAGCACACGAACTTAACCACTATGCCACCAGGCCAGCCCCTCAAGGATCTTTTCCTGTCAAGGAAGATGCAATGCTAAGTGTGGAGCTAGTTGAGAAGTTGCAATATCTTATCTGTAGCTAGTGATACCCTGAGAGTCTGCAACTTTCCAGCCACCACAGTGTGTGTGATGGGAATCAGCCAGACAAGCTGCGACTTGGGGCAGACACACCTGATGCCTCCAGTAACAGACCTTCATGTCCATTCTCTCAACAGGCATTTATTGAGCACCTATGATGTACCAGGCACTATTCTAGGCTCTGGGGACACAGTACTGAACAAAATAACTCCACTTGGAACTTCGGGGGGGGGCAGTGGGAGAGACAACGAAAGATGTGCCTGTCGAGTGAGCCAGACGAGGATAAGGACGGTGGGATAAATAAAATGGGCTAAGAAAGGGGGCCTGGGGGTGAGGGTCAGCTCTTTTGTAAAGGTTGGACAGGGCAGGCCTCTCTGGTGGGTTGACACTCGCAAGGCGGCCGGAAGGAAGTGGGAGGCAAGTCAGGCCGAGATCTGGAAGGAGTCGTGACTTTCCCAGAACCACACAGTAACCACGCGGCTGCATCGGGACCATAACGCAGGGTATGCACAGGTGTCAGGGATCCGGGGTGCCTGGGGGGACACTGCAGAATAGTGGAAACACACCAGATAGGGTGTCCACAGAGGGGGATGTTGTTGGGACCCAGCTGGTCGGAGCTGCATGATCTCCATCCTTGGCCGTTCATTTTCTCCTCCATTCCTTACAACCATCTTGCAAGTATTAAGAGTTCACAGATATCCTACTTTATAAGTGGTAAATGTTCATTACTTTATTTTATGGGGGCAGCAAATGCTAACCCTCCAAAAGGGCTACAACTCTGCTCTGGTTGAGGGAGGAGAGCCACTGGCTGGGACAGAGAAGGCTCCTCAGGGGAAATTAGATCTGAGCGGGCATTTTCAATAGAGGAGAAGTGTTCATGCTGAATGCCCAAGGATCGTGGAAGATAAACGGACCAGCCTGGCGGTCACATCACCTCCTTCCCAGAGAGAAGGGGGCTATCTATTCATATTAGGTTCAATTAAAAAGGACAGAAAACCCTAAATAAGAGTAGCTCAAACTGAAAGAAATTTCTTCCTTTCTTGTGTAAAAACTCCCGAGATAGGCAGTCAGGGGTCAGGGACCCTGGCCCCTTCCATCTTGCTCCACAAACCTCAGCATTTGGCTTTTACCACCTCATGGCTCAAGATGGCTGCTTGAGTGCCAGACATCATGTCTGTATTGCAGCCAACAGGGCAGAGAAAGGAATGAAGGAAATGCCTTCTCCCCAGCAGAGGGGTTTCTAGAAGAATGCCACTTTAGCTTGGTGGTTTTAAGGCCCAGAGAGGGCCTACCAGGCCCCTGGAGGGCCCACAGGCTTGGCACCGCTGCTGCCTGGGATGGCACCCGGGGAGGGGAGAGATGCGGGCAGCTCTGCGTGTTTCCCTGGAGAAGTTCCTGCAGTGGTCCATGAACAGGACAGCTGTTAGCAGCTGCCACGATGCCACATGTGCTGGTCCCTCCTGCTGTCCTCTAATTTCCATCCCCTAGAGGAGCATCCCCTCCTCCTCCCAGCCGGAGTCTTCTCTGGTGCCCTGTGAGCCCAGAATACTGGGGGCTTGGGGGATGGGGGGTCCTACTGACAGGGTTGAGAGGCAGAAGTAGGCGTTTCCAGGGAAACCCCTCTGAGCTGCACCGCCCACCACCACGGGTGGACTCCACTTCCTCAAGCCCAGGGCTGGGAATCCCAGGATGACTTTAAATCAAATTGCTGTAAAAGCCCCTGGCAGAGAGAGACACATGGTAGGGGCTCAAGGCGAATGAATGAATCAATGAATCAATGTCAATCACAGGGAGCCCAAACATTATTGAGTCTAACCTGACAAGCTGTCAGCCAGCTTCCACTTACACACTTCCAGTGACAGGGAGCTCACTACTATCACAGGCAAAATAGTTTTTGTTTTAGATTATCTTATGATGAGTCAGATTCTCCACCTCCTGGGCTTCCCCATCAGCCCCAGTCTGCCTGCAGGTGGGACCCAGAACACAGTTAGAACATTTTTTATGGGATGGTACCCAAGTCTTTGCAGGCAAGGGAAAGCACAGAACCCCACAGCCAGACCTTGGAGGCCACACATCTCCTGGTCATCTTCTCGGGTTTCAGATGTGGTTCTGGCCAGAGAGGGGCTGTGACTTGCCCAAGGCCACACAGCTGGCTAAGGGCTGAGCGAAGATCAGACCCCGGATCCAACTTTGAGCCGAGTTCCTTCTAAATCCCACAGCCCCTCCGGGACCTCCTCTAGCCTTCCCCACAGTGGGTACCACCCCCCCGCCCCCTAAGCCAGTCCCACCCCACGATGCTGAGGATCTGCTTCCTTTATGGAGACCCTCAGGCTGGAGAGAGGCATCTCTTGTCACCACCAGCGACAGGCACAGGGCTGGGACCTGGGGTCTGGGCGTCAGGAGCTGCTGCAGGACCAGGACCTAAGAGTGGGCTGACTCTTACCCGCCCCAGACAGAGGCCTCCCCCAGAGCAGTTGGCCCGTGTGTGTGCGCACGCATGTGTGAGCGTGTGTGTGTGCACGAGTGTGCGCCTGGGCCTCCAAGAGCGAGAGGAACACGTAGCAAGCTGTTGGCAAATCCTGCCAAGGCGGAAAGGGTAACTGTCACGCACGATGCCAACAGACAGACCTCCGGGGACTCATTTGGTTTTGTTGTGTGGTTATTTTTTTTACAACTTTAAATACGGAATATAAATAAATTTTACATTTAAAAAATAAAAGGAAAGCCCCCAAAAATATAATCACCGACTTTACAAACTGAAGGAAGCAGATTTTGGAGAGGGGGGAAGGGGAAAGCGCAGTGGAAGGTGGGGAAGGAGGCGGGAGTCAGACCCCACCCCTAGGGGGCCCCGGGGTCTTCTTCCCTCACTCCCCCACTCCCAGCCCATGAGCTGGTTTCCTGCGAGGAGCCACCAGAGGTGGAAGTCAAAAAGATCCAAGATGGGGGAGTGTGCAGGTGGGGAGCAAGGGCGGCCCCCTCCCTTGGAGACCTTCTCTTGGGTTTTTCAAACCTGCCTGGAAGGCAGACGGCTCCAGCTGAGGACTCAGGGAAACGGAGGCCAGATGGACAACACTGTGCCTCCCCCGCCAACAAGGGCACACTCCCGTCCGACCACTCCAAGCCATGGGCTGGGTCAGGGGCACGGCCAGTCCCCATGGAGCCTTTGTGTCAATTAGGGAAAGGATTCCTTTCCTCAAGACATGTTACCTCCATCAGCCAGGAAACTGTCACAATAAATATACAAATTGGCCACGTCTATGGTGTGAATGGTGCTCCCTGCATGCAGTGCCCTTGTGCAGTGCACACCCTGCACAACCTTACGTGGCAGTCTTGGCTGGGCTGGGATACGATGGGCAGGCCCCCTGCTGCCCTGGCCCCTGGTCTTCTGCCCTATGGAGCAGTGACTGGGGTTATTTGGGGCCTCAATAAGGGGTCCAAGAGCCCCTTGGTGGAGCAGACTGAGGGCCAAGAGGAAGATGCAGGGGAGAGGTAGAGAGATGAAACAGAGACGGAAGTGAAGGGGAGTGGTGGAGGCGGCGGGTGCCCAGGTCACCATCTACGTCCACCTCCAGAGCAAACTTCAACTCTGACCCATCTGAGAGGGCACTCGGCTGCCTGGCGCCCTGGCCACGCACACCCGGAGGAGTCCACATCTTCAAAGATTTCATACGTATAAAATGAAAGGGAGCCACTGTGAGCAGAGGGGACCACGCAGAGGGGACCAGGCCCGGGCACCGCAGGAGGGGTTTCTCCAGTCTGTGCTCTGCCACGTGGTCTCAGCCGCAGGAGTACAAGGTGCCCAGGCCTGCCTGGGGGTGTTCCCTTCAGAGCTGGCTGGGGCTCCGGGGCCGGGCAGGCCATGCCTAGAGGTCCTCAGGGCCACGTGCAGGGTCTCAGGCCTGTCCACAGAGCTCGGGTGTGGCCCAGGCCGGGCGCTGGGGAAGAGAGCCCCATTCCCCAAACGGCGAAGCCATCAGTCTCTCCTGTGCTCTCATCTCGGGTTCTCGGGGCTGGGGGGCAGACAGCGACGGAGTCCGGGTCTTTTGTTTCCTCCTCGAGCTTCCGGGCAAGACACTGGAGGCCGCTGAGGGGAGAGCCGCTGGCGGAGGGGCGGGGGAAGCACCATTGGCCGTCCGAATCAGGCATCGAGACAGACGGACGAGGGGACAATATTATCACTCCAAGGACCCCATGGGGGCGATACAGCAAATACCATATTAAATAACCCTGTAGGCCAAGCAGAGGACACGGGGGTCAGAGACAGCCTAGGGGCCCATCCCAGGCTCACAAGCCCCCCTTGGGAGGGGCAGGGAGCCAGGGTCGACCAGTGTCCCTGATTTTCAGCAGGCTCACTCAGGGCTGGGGGAGCTGAGGTTTAGACCTCCCATCCTCTCAGGGCATGCTGGGGTCTCCCAAGCCCCCCCACCTGCCCCAGGGCAAAACTCAGAAGATAACTGGGTGGAGGGGTCACCTCTCAGAGCCTGGATTTTGTATGGGAAAACGCCTCTCCTCCAGCCCCTCCCACAGCCCAAGCCACAGGCAGAGAGAAGGAAACGCAGGGCTCCGGGCCTCCGCCTCCCGGCCTGGCGCTCACCTGCCCACACCCTGCTGCGGACGCCCCTAGGCTCCGAGGGTCTCCTTCAGCGCCTGCTTGTCGTGTGTGTGCTTGAACTTCCGGTGCTTCCCCTTGGGGGGCCGGCGGACGCGCACTGTCCGGATGGTCACCCGAGTCTGGGGCGTCTTGGCTGCTCAAGAGAAAGAAAGGTTTCGTCAGCAGCTGGACGACCACCGCGGAGGGTCTCTTGCTCTCGACCAAGGCCTGCCGCAGACCACCCCAGATCCTCTGGGCTGAGAGAAAAGGGGCCGGAGGGAGTCTGGGGCCAGATCTCCCGGGTTCAAATCTCAGCAACACCACTCACCAGCTGTACGTGCCTCGGGGACCATGACTGAACCACTCTGTGCCTCAGTGTCCCCATCTGTGAAACGGGGGTAATAAGACTGCCCACCTCACAGGACTGGTGGAAGGAATAAATGACAGGATGCTGGCAAACACAGAGGGGAGTAGAGGGCTTCAAGTTCTTGGTCATTACCCCACCGACATGCCGCTTGTGCCTGGCCTGGACTTGGATCTGTTAACCAACAGGAGGCAGTGGTGCCGGCCAGTTCCGGGATATGCCTTAAGAAGGCCTGGCAGCCCCCAGTTCTGTGCTTTGGGGAGCCCTGTGGCCCCCATAAGAAGTCTGGCTACCCTGCTGAGGCCACGTGGGGAGGACAGGCCTGCGCTACAGGGGGAGGGACAGAGGCCCAGCTGTCCCAGCGCAGCCTCCAGACGACTGGCTGCACCCACAGGAGACGCTAGTAGAACCGCCCAGCTGAGCCCAGTCAACCCACAGCCCCGGGAGGGAGAATAAAATGGCTGTTGTCTTCAGCCACTGAGTTCAGAGTAAGAAGTGATCAGCCATCAGCAGCTGCTCTTATTCACTTGTTTCTCATTTCCTCAGCTTGACCCCCGATTGAGGGATCCCCCCACCAACTTCTCAGCCCCTTCCAGCCATGCGACGAGGGAGCCGCTGGGCTTCAGGCCGGGACCACCCCCCATGAGCTGGGCCTTTCCCCGGTGGTGCCATCGTCTGCCAGGCCCTTGCTGTTCCGAGAAGCAGCATAGGGGTGGCCAGAGCTCTGGCTATGCTGGACCACCAGGTTCACATCTGGGCTCTCCCAGGTGTTGGCTGTGTGCTTTGGGACAAGTCATATAAACTCTCTGTGCCTCGATTTCCACCTTTAAAGCTGAGATGACAGCAGCCCTGGCCTCCAAAGGACAAGAGATAATACACGGAAACAGCCAGAAACCCTTAAAACACCTGCCGATGCTCTACGCTCATTTATCTTCACAGCAGGTACAAGTGTCTACATTTAACAAACAAGGAAACTGAGGCAGAGAGACTGGGATTTGAACCCAGGGATCTGCCTCTGAGGTCCACACTTTCAACTACTGGGCTGTAGGTCTCGGTGTCTGCGAGCCTCGGTCAAGGTCAGTGCTGTGTCTCTTCCTCTTGGGCCCCCTGGACTCCCTGGCAGTGAAAGCTTTCTCTGCCACACTTAAGGCCTGCCTCTTCCTGGGAGCCCTCCAAGATCTCCACAGCCCACGAAGCTCTTTGGGGTCAACATCTGACCTCCCACCTCACAGACACAAGCTGCCACAAGGCAGTTACCCCATCTCTGCAAATGGGCAGATTTAGGGACCCAGGTGGGTCTCAATCCCTCTCGTGGGAGGACACCCAGGGCGGCCACTGAAGGACCCAGGGAGTTCCTGCTCCAGAGACAGGGCCACTAGCAGGACGCTGGGCTGGACAAAGCCTGAGTGGGCTCAAGGTTGTCACACAGCTCCCAAGGGACAGAGCAGAGATTGGGGCCCAGGAGGTCTACACTGACCATCCCATCACACGGGCCACACCCACAAGCCAGCCCACGGATGGCTGCCAGAGTGCCCTAGCCCGGGGCCCAGACACTCGAGCTAAAAGGACAAGACTCGATGCCTCCCCATATTAATCGGGGGACTGTGCCTCCCAGGAAACCGCACTGGAAAATCGCACGAAGCACATGCATGTGCAAGAACCCCATTCTCAACATTAAAAGGAATAGCATTTTCCCATAGAAAAATAACTCTCCACGTCAACTCTATAAATAATTTACAACATGTCCCTTTGAAGGTGTCACATTATCAGCCTTCCCGGGGCTTTCGTGCCTCCGCTGAGCCCTGAGAACATGAAGAACAGGCTAAGAGACGGCCCTGCCTTCAGGAGGCTTGTTAATAAGAAGTGATGGTCAGACTGTCCTGTCCTCTAAGTGAAGAAAGTTGCTGAAAATTGAAACGATCACTTGCGTGATTATTTTTAGCTCATCTAATCATATTAATTTAATGATTCTCGTTTGATCCTCACTGCAAACATTCGAGAGAGAAAAGGCAGCAGGATACAGTCTAAAGAACCCAGAACTAGACATTACAAGACCTGAGTTCCTGGCTAGGCTCTGCTGTCATTAAGTCCCTTAACCTCTCTGCTCCAGCAGCCCTGTTAACAACACTAAAGGATTGACTTGCGAGGTCATCTCTCTGGTCCATTCTACCTCTAAAATTTTAAAATCGTTTAAAAAAAAAAATGATGAGGCAGGTAAGACAGTGACAGTTGTCAGGGTGAGGGGAGAGCCAAGAAAAAAACTTCAGGACACCTGGATTCCAGCTATACCCCTGCCTGGGACTGGCTGTGTGACCTTGGGCAAGACCTCAGCCTCTCTGGGCCTCAGGCGCCTCCTCTGTAAAATGTGGAGGAGGCAATTGGACCAGACCATTTTTTTGGTTCCTTTCAACTCTTTAAGTCAAACTATGCCCCTGAAATCGTGGATTCATGAAATCTAGGGACAGGAACAGAACTCCACTTCCACTTATCCATCTGATGCTTGAACCCTGTCTGTCACATCCCTGCTGCACGGTTGCCCAGCCTTTACTTGCACACCTCCAGCAACAGGGAACTCACCACCTCGCAAGGCAGACAATTCCATCTTGGTGATCCTGACTGATCACCAGCTTTCGCGTATATGGAGTTGAAATCTCTCCCTGATGATATTTCCCCACTGGTCCTAATTCCCCCATCAAAGCTACAAGGAACTGGTTTGATGCCTCATCCCCAGGACAAGTTGTCAAGTATCTGAAGATGACGTGCATGGCATCTTCTCTTGTCCAGGCCCTTGTTCCTCCCACCATCTCATGCACTCATTCAACAAAGTAGGGGGCTGTGGAGCAAGACTGGGATGGGGGCTGCTCTGGACGGGGTGGTCAGGGCAGACTTCTAGGAGGAGGAGACTTCTGAGCTGAAACCCAAATGAAGAGAAGGAGCTAGGCTTGCAAAGACCTAGGAGAAGCGAATGTCAGCCAGAGTGCCATGTGCAAAGGCCCTGAGGCAGACATTTATTTGGCTGTTCAAGGAGGCCAATCTGGCTAGGGTGGCATAAAAGAGGGGGATTGGTTGGCAGCAAGGCCAGAGAGCCAATCAGGGGATACATCCTCACAGGGCCTCGCAGGCAGGGGAGGAATCTGGATTGTTCTCAGTGAGATGGAAAGCTTCAGATGAATTTAACTAGGGGCACGCCTGAGCCAGTTCCCCCGCCCCCGCCCCCAGAAGCTGCCGGACTGAGCAATTCAGAGGCAGACCCCAGACCACGGTTACCTCGCTGCTCCTGGGAACTCCCAGGGCTTCGGGTCACAGGTCGTGCGGCCGTCACCGTCTCACACTTGCACGCCAGGTGGTCTTCCAGGGTCACCGTGGCCTTCTTAAAGGTCGGCTTCTTCCGCACGATCTCGATCTTTCTCACCTGGAGGAGAGAACCACCCAAGCGCCTCGGTGAGACCACATGGGCAGAGGCCGAGGGAGCCCGCCGCCCACTCTTCCACACTGCGTCCCCGGCCTTGATCTTTCCTCGAAAGCCCGGACAGCAGCACAGCAGACTCTTCGGCCCAAACAATAGCAGGACCTTGCCCTCTGCCCTTCTCGTAGCTTTTCCATCAAAACAAGCCCTCCCGACCTGGCCCCCGGCTTCGCCGCAGCCCCCCTCCGTGCCCCTGGAGAGGGAGAAAGGCATTTCCGGGTTCAGCGTGGAGCCTGTGGTGTCCTCATTCCAGGAGCGCCAGCCAAGGTCAAGGGCTGGGCAGAGGCGGGAGATGGTTGTCTGGAAGGAAGTGGGGGAGGCGGTATCCAGGAGGGAGGCGGGAAGGGGGAGGTCAGCTGTCAGGTATCCATCCACAGCGCTGGACGTGTTGGGGACAGGAGATATCATGACCGCGGGTGGGGGCGTGGAGAGTGACATTTGTAATCTCGGGCACGGGGCCCAGGTCTGGATGGAAGGTGGGCACGAGGCAAGGCTGATCACAGGGGAGGGGAGTGTGGCAAAGCAGCAGAGCACTTGGCAAGAGCGGTGCTGGCCCACGTGCGCCCACCACCCAGCAGCTCGGCCCATCCTGAGTTAGTGTGTGAGCCAGGCTGGCCCAGAGGTGCAGAAACCTTAACTCATGAATCAGAAGGCAGCTGAGGCTTCTCCGGCCCTGCCCTGCCCAGCGTGACACCGGGGGCTCCCCAGGATGGCCTTTACTCTAAAATTTCCCTTGAGTCAGAGTGTGTACCCAGTCTTCCCAGAAAGAGTCAGGATCAGCATTCTGACTCTCCCAGGGGCTGCCCCAACTCCTGCCACGTCTGCCCCTGGACGGCTCTGTGCTCTTTGTTAAACACGCAGCTTGTCTAAGGGAGACGAGCAGGCGTTACAGACGCAGGGCCACCTAACCGAGCCGTCCTCTCTGTGGAAGGAAGAAAACTGAGCCCTGAGCAGCGGAGAGCTCTGGGGGAACCCGAGTGTCCAATAAAAGTCTACAGACATGTCTCTTCAAGGGACAATTTTATCCCGTAAAGGAGGAGGCAGTGTCCCTTACAATGTCCCCCACCCGGCCCGGCCTGGGGTCTGTCTGTGGCTTTGGTTACAGCGGCCTGGGTGGCCCCTGAGGACTCATGGCGGCCTTAGCACACCTGTCCAGAGAGAGCTTCCAACGGTGGTCCTCCCTGGACAGAGCCCAGGAGCATCCAGGAATGCCTTTTGACCCCACGGAAGCTGGCCGGCGAGTGACCTGCCCCCGAAGGGCAGCCCCACCCCCAGAAGGCGAGCGGGGTGGCCACGGACCCACGCACCTGGACGGGCCGCAGCTGCACCTGCGTGGGCCGGCACTGCACGTGGCGGTTGTTGCAGCAGCCAGAGCAGCGCTGCACCTCCACGCACGGCGGCCACACCAGGAAGTTGGCGTTGGTACGGTCGATGAGGCGCCGGGAGATCTCGAACACCTCGGTGCGAGTCTTGCACTCAGCGATCATGGCTGGCTCGGCCACCTCGGGGGAACCTGGAGGGAGGGGGACCTCCATCAGGACGGGGGCCTGCCCAGAGCCCACCCACAGGAAAGCCCGGCCGATTCCCACCTCCTCCATCCCCGGGGTGGCGGTTCCAGTCTCGGCTATTATCAGCCATGGGACTTGGGCAGGTTGCCCTGGTGAGCTCAAAGCCTCAGTTTCCCCGTGTGCAAAATGGGTATGATGAGATCTACACCCAAGACCCACTGTAAGGACCACGTGAGGTCATTCAGAGTGCTGGCATGTTGTAAAGTCAGTTTCCTCCCGCCAGCCCCCAACCATTTTATTCTACGATTTCACACATTTATGGGTTTGCCCGACACGTGGCCCTCACATGTGTATTGTCTTGTAACCAATCTCAAGGTGCTGTTTATTCTGTCGTCTAGACTTACGTTGTTGCTTCTTTCAAGCCTTAGTCCCCTCATCTCTGAAATGGGATAATACAGTGCCTACACAGCACTTGCAGCTGTGGGATGGGATGTGCGTGAAGCCTGGCCCACAGCAAGCATACAGTCAATGTGGGGCTGCTGTCACTGTCACGTAGAGAGAAACCAGGGCTCCGAGAGCTAAATCAGCTGCCCAAATCCACAAAGCGAGGAGTGGAACTCAGGTCCCCAACCCTTATCGGGAGGTCCCCCAGCCACTGTCTACAGTGTTTTGGGGATGGCAGGTGGGCAGAGAGGAGGCGGGGCTGGGTTGGGGCACTTGCCCACCCCGGGAAGGTTCCGAGGGACCTAGTGATTGACATTCGCCTTTTGGTCTCTGCGACAGAGCAGGAGGTGGGTCCCAGGCCGCAGCCCTTAGCCACAGCAGAGACACGCGGCCCACCAGGACGGCACTGGGTTCAAGTGAAACGAGCTCTTGGGATCCCAGCCCTACCACTTGCTAGCTGTGTGACCTCAGCTATTTCTTTACCCTCTCTGGGCCCCAGTTTCCAACTCTATATAAAACTCCATAAAATAATATCCACCTCCAAGCTTGAAGTAATGAATAAATGAGCTTAAAAGCACTGTAATTAGAAAACAGTGTGTGTCGGGGGCATGACGACTCAACTCCTCAATCCAGGGCATTGAAGGATGGTTATACTCTCTTAGCTCAACTCAGTGCTGAGCGTAGTAGGGACAGAGGAGCCGGCGCTGCAGCCTCGGGCTGGCTTCCACCTCAGAGGGGCCACCATTCGCAGCCCTGGTCTTACCTAGGCTCCTTCTCCCACGAGATGAGCTCTCCGGCTCGCCTCCAGAGTGGGACCGGGTCAAATTCAGGTCCAGCTCGGCCCCATCTTCATCTGCAAGAGATGGCACGGTCAGACGCACTCTGATAACTACTGGCTGGCCTGATCGCAGGGTGGAGGCTGCGATGGGGACTCTGGGGCCGGAGGGAGGATTATCTCTCACCCCCCACTGGCCCACCACTCCAGAAAACAGTCTCCCCTCTGGCTCCCTGTAAACCCAAGGGTCCTAGCTCTGAACAGCGGCGCTCCAGGCAAACTCCAGAGTGGCCACGGGGCTCAGCAGGTGGCGGGGCCCTAACCGCATCCCTGGGGCGGGGGAGCCATCAGCCCACTCTGGGCTCTTCAGCCACATTCTTGGACAGAACCCATCTCAATGGAGTTAAAAATAACCCACCCCTCTGCTACTGTAAGCAACCCTCCTCGGCCTCCAGGGCAGGGCGAGGACCGAGAGCTCTAAGGCCAGTTTCCAGTGCCCTCGGCCCAGCGTTCCCATAGGAAGTGCTGAATGGAGAAATTCCCAGAATCCCCAGGGGGGACCAGCATGCCCTGGACACAGCCCCTCTGGAGCCCCGGACAATGGCCCAGTTGGGCGGGAGAGAGGGAGGGAGGGAGAGGGATGGGGGTGGGGGCTGAAGGCAGAGAGAGGGGTGGGAAGCCAGGGCCTGCTGGGATGCGGGGAGCCCTCGCCCCGTGCCCTGCTAGGCCTCCCTCTCTCTCCAGCTCCCAGTCTCTCATCGCCCATCTGTTTCTGTCTCTCTCTCCCCTAACCCTTTGTCCCATGACTGCCCTAAGTTGTCCGTTTATTCCTAAGGTCACAAACCACAGCCCCTTCTCTAGCCGGGGGCGCCCCCATCTCAGTGTCATTGGCCCTCCTTGGAGACACCCCTCTCTCCAGAGAGGGCGCCAGAAGCCGCTGAGGGAGATAGGGTTGGAGAGGATCGGGAGCTGCACGTGGAATCGTGGACAGACCCTTTTCTCTCTCCAATGACTGAAGAGCCAGCATGTAAACTGAGAGTGCTGAGGACAAGCCCCTGCCCCCTCCACGCAGCACCTTGAGGCTCACACGGTCTCCCCAGCCCGCTGGCCCTGCCAGTGATGAAACTCCTGCTCATCCGGGCGGGCTCCCGGGGAGTCCTGTTTGGAGGAGACCGTCCTGAACTGGTGCCTTTCCGTCTGGCCCACTGCTCCCACATCAGTGCGTCTGTCTGTCCCTCCCGCTCCCTTCCTTTCTCTCTGCCATCTCTGGAATGTCCCTGGTGGGGAGGAGATGGGGAAAAGATGTGCTTTGTGGAAAGGTTAAGTTGATTAGGAAAAAATAGCCACATCGTTGCCTCGAAACAGGCCTGCTATTGAAAACCTCATCTCTGAGCTCCCGACCCCCACCCGGGGTGTGGAGGGGCTGTCCGAGGGTGCCGGCGAAGGGCCTTGGAAAGAAACAGCAGAAAGGCTAAATTTGGAAGTTGCCCCATTGTGTTGGCCAGGGCTGGCCAGTCGGGCATGGGGTGGGGGGTGCGGGAGACGTGGGGTGGGGGGCCTGGCGAACAATAGGTGGGCCCGGCTGGGGCCCCCTCCCGCCTGCCTCGCCAGCTCCCGGCAGAGGCAGGTTTGAAAGGCCCTGGGAATGCTTTTGAGAGGGAGCCAGGGGCCCAATGGGAGAAGAAACAAAGGCAGGAAACGCTGTCCCCCGTAGATAGCAGTCTGGGCAAGGATTACAAAGTGACAAAGAGACAAAACCCCCGAGGGAAGGGGAGCTGGGGTGCAGGGGGGGTGCTGACCAGGGCTCCGGGGAACAGGCCAGAGGTTAGAATAGAATGGAATTTGCTCTGAAGACAGCGTTTATAAATACATTCCTGACCCAGCCCGCCAGCCCCGCCACGTGTGTGTCACCGAGCACGTGCCCATTCTCTGAGCGTGCTCTCGAGATGGGCAGGGCTGCCCGCCGGTCAGGCCAGGTGTCCCTGGGAGACCTTATAGACAGGCCCTAAGCCAGGGGGGCAGGGAGGTGGCTCCTCCGGCACCACCCTCCCCAGCTGGGTCCACACCTGAATACAAACTTGGGAGGGGCGCTGGGCGCCTTCCCCGTGCCCCTCCTCCCAGCACCCCACCCTCTGCAAAAAGCCAGAGCCACATGTGGGTGCTTCTCCTGCCACGCCCCACATCCCAGGTACCAACCCGTCCGCCTACTCAGCCCCGCCCTGGACAGGTGTGGTTGAGCCTTCCTGGGCTGCCACGGGCCGCCGGTTCTCTGGCTGTCAAGGAAGAGGGGATGCCCCTTGCCCAGCCCCTCCCGTCTCCGGAGGACCTAGTGGAGAGCCAGAGCGACAGACGAGGATTCAATTTACCTACGGAGTCTCCGTGCAGCAGGCGCTGGAGGTCATCGAAGGAGCGGATCGAGTGGTCGCTCAACATCTCGTAGAGCTCCTCAGGAATGGGGTCCCCCTGCCAGGCAGACACCGGGGGACCAGGTGAGCTGGGAGGGAGGGCTTTCCAGCCGTGGCCCTCTTCCCCTAACAGACACACCCCCTCCTATGGAAAGTTCCTGAGGGCCCCTCGGCCACGGGTAAATGGACAGCCAGGCTGGGGCCCGGCGGTGGGGCAGATTCCAGGCCTGACAACCAGAAGCACAAAGGCCTCTAAGACCCAGCTCAGATGCTGCACCCCCAACCCCGAAACAGGAACCCCAGCTTGCTTTGCATTAGACTTGATGGTGTAATGTCTCCATCACACCACCGGTTCCTGGAGACTCCAACAACATGATTCCTCGCTGCTTCCCCTCCACACCTGACAGCTAACGACAGCCAGCATTCCTCAGGGGAGAAATGATTATCCCCATTTTACAGATGAGAAAACAGAGGCTCAAACAGGTGACATCCTTTGTCCAAGTCCCAAGCTGATTATCGGCAGAAGCTGCATTCAAACCCAAGCCTTTCTGACGGCAGAGCCTGTACTCCCAGCCTCCCGGGTACACGAGGTGTTTAATAAATGCTTGCAGAGTCGGATGGTCTCTGGAGGCCACACATACTAGCGATATCTATTTAGTGTCTCGCTCAAAAGAGGAGAGAAGGAAACCCTCAGATACGACCGGGAAACCTGAAAGCTTACCCATGCCCCGTGCCCAAACAAACCCTATTTTTAGAGGCTCTCTGGCCTGTTACCAAAAACACTTGAAACTTAATAAGCACTTTAACAGGCCCCACTCAGAGCCGGCTTCCTCCAGGGAAACCGCAGGTCCCACAATGACATGACAGCAGCCCGATAGGAAGGTCACAGTCACGTCCCCCACAGTCCGGGGAGACCCGAGGGGCTGATGCCAGAGGTCTTGAGAAAGAGGTGAGGGCACATGAGAGCTGAGAAACACAATCCGGACACCCGGTGCCTCGGGGCAAAGAAAGTGTGTAAGATGCTGCTGCAGGTCGGAACTCACTCCCACGCGAACACACACACAGCACACACAAACACACCAGTGGCACGGTCTAGAAGGAGCCCCGGGGAGGGTGTCAGCAGACCTGACTTACTCTTGTTGAATCTTGGATTAAACCACTCTGTGCCTCAGTTTCCCTAGATTAAGAAGGGAAGAGCTCCTGCTCCCATTGGTTCACTGAACACTCCAAGCACTGGAGTTCCAGGCTTCGCACAGCCTGCCTCCGAGGGAGGAACGCTGCCCTCTCACTGCCCAATAGGGAGGGAGGTCATCCTGCCTCGCGGCCAGCCCCGGGGGGCTCTCCCCAAAAGCTCCATTAGGAGCCTGGCGATTAATCAGTCTCCCCCAAAGCTCCATTTCCTCAACACTTATCAGGGCATCTGGGAACACCTCCTCCAGGCATGCCACCATGTCCTGCTCTGGCCACCCAAGTTGGCCTTGGAGCCCGAGAAGCCAGGGTGAAGGGTGGGCATGACCGCCTTTAAAATGAATTCCTTGAAACCCTCGAGCTCAGCTGCTCCGTTTGAATGTGGAGTTTATAATCCAGCCCGGTGTCCAGGGCTGTCAGGAGGTTCGAGACAGGGAAGGTTGGGGGCCGAGCAGAAAGCCTGGTGGGAGTTGGGGTCTTTCCTTCAGGATCCCGGCTGCACAGCCGGGAGCCAGGGGTGTATGTGCAAGATGGGGGAGGGGCGTCAGCTTAGCTGCCCCTCACTTTCCTCCCCCACCCCCAAGTGCCCTGCCTCCTCCAACCCCAGGCGGAGACAGCACCTTCAGTAGTCACCAAATGTGGACCCAGGACCCACCCCATAGAACAGAAGGCATGCGGCTGGTCTCCAGGTAAGACCATGGCCGGCTGCTCCCCTAGGGGTTTTGTCAACCCCAGAACTGGGCGTGAGAGCTGGAGACCATCCTTGTACCACTACCAACCGCCCCATGACCTTAGACTGGTCACTGCCCCTCTCTGGTCCTGGCTTCACCGGTGAATCAAGGGGCTTGAAGAACATTTGATTTGATTCTAATTCTGCCTGGGAGTGGCAGGAGAAGCAGCAGAGGAAAGCCAAGGATGGGGGCGCCCCGCAGGTCTCCCTGGCTATTTGTGGAGTAATGATTCAATGAACCACCCCCCGGGAGAGGGGCCCAAAGGCCCAGTACCAAATGGCCCACAGCACTCATGCCAAGACTTCCTTGCCCACTGGAGAGCTGGCTGCAGCTGCCAGCCGTGGCAGAGTAGACAGACCCCCAATCAGGCCTGGCAGATGTCTGCGCCTGGGCTGTGAGGCAAAGGAGACGGCGTCTTGTAGAAACACAGACCCTCCAAGGCTGAGCGGGGAAGAGCCCAGGAGAGAGACTGGGAAGGTGGGAGACACACACGGTAGGTGCTCAGTGAAGACTGATGAAATGCATGAAGAATCCCCCTTCTCCATATGGGGGTTCTCTCCCAGATGATTCTCCCACCTCCTCTACCAGGAGGGCCTCCTGGGATATCCTCCCCCCCGACCCCAGCAAATTGCCTGTATGAGTCCACTTTATTCTAGGTCGAGAGGCCATTCCTGCACATGCTCCTGGTAATTTGGTCACTGGATGCCCAGAACTCACTGGGAGCCCCCTGGATTTGATAATAATACCACAGCTCACTTGTATTTAGGGAGGGCTGACTACGAGCCAGACAGAGCTAAACGCTGGACTAACTACCAGTCCCAGAGGCTGGTGCTATTTATCCCCATCTTCCAGAGGAGGAAACTGAGGCTTAGAAAAATTAAGTAAATGGCCACAGGTCGACACGACTAGCAAGTAGCAGAGCCGAGTCCTTCCCTCTTCCAGCCACGGAGCTTCCACCACGGGGCTTCCGGCCTCCCGTCTCCGGCGTCACGTTCAGTTCCTGTTGCCTCTTGACCCCTGTGGCATGTCAGAGAGCAGTGGATCTCAACCAGGGGCCCCCAGGGGACAGTGGCCACGGCTGGAGGCGTTTTCAGTGGTCACAACTAGCGAGGTGCTGCTGGTATCTAGGAGGCGGAGGCTGGTGCTGCTGCTAAACATCCTGCTACACACAGGACAGCCTTCCACAGTTGAGAATTATCTGGCCCACAATGTCAATAGTGCAGAGGATGAGGAACTCGGTGGTAGACGAAGGAGCAAGGGCTTCCGCTGCCAAGGAAACCTGGATTCCTGGAGTAAGTCTTTGAACAATCTAAAATCTCTACTTCTTTATCTTGTAAATGGTGCTAATAATACCTCACCTGGGGTTACGGGGAGGGGTAACTGCACCCAGCAGAGCAGCCGGCAAATAACGGTGACTTAACTGAGCTGTCCCTGTGGTTGTCACTCACTCCTTCAGTCTGGCTCCTTTGAGGGCAGCATCGAGCAGCACACATGCCCAGGCCAGCAGTGCAGGACATTTTTGAGGATGACAATGGGTGAGTGGAGAGCTGCCTGCCCATGGAAGAATGTCTGGCTTTCCATTATCCCCTGTGCTGGGCCCCAGGAAACAGCCCCCTAGCTCGATGCTGGCACTGCCTGGGGCTGCGTGGGCTGGCAGGTCCCTTCCGGGTGGGGGGTGGGTGAGGGATGGGGAATTCAGCCTGTAGTCAGCTCCAGGATGCAATGCCCTGGGGGAGACTCATGGGCACCTGCCTGGGGTCAGAGGCTCCTCTTGGGGTGGGAGGGTGAGCAGCCTGGAGCCCCGTTTTCCTGGTTCTAGAAGCTTCCTTAGCTGGGCAGCTCCCCTCAGAGAATCCCGTAAGATTCTCCCACCTCCTCCACCCGGAGCTGCTCGGGAAAGGAGGCCTGGCACCCTGAGGAACATGCCCCGGATCTGAGGCCTGGGTTCCTGGCAGGGCAAGGGTGTGGCAAGAAGGCAGCTGGGGCGAAGCCAGCCTACCAGGCCAAGGCAAACAGCCTCCTCCCCCACCCCACCCCCACTGCCAGCTGCAGGAGGTAGGAAGCGCACGAGCCAGCGTGAGGCCAGGTGAATTACCTGCTCCTGACCAGGCTGGCAGATCAAAGGGGCTCGGACCCCACCCTCCGCCTGGGCCCCGGAGCACACATAGCTACACACTCCCCAGCCCACCTGCCGTTCCGCTGAGGGAGATGACACAGGCTCGGCCCAAGCAACCAGGGGCGTTGTCAGCGGCTGGCAGAGGGAGAGGCCGAGCAGGCCTCCGAGCACCCGCCAGCCTGACAGTCTCAGGCCTGACTTAGACTCAGTGCCAAGCCAAGCCCTTGGAAGAAGTCTTCTCTGGGCAGACCACAGAAGCCTTTTAGAATCAGACTTTCCCACCTAGATTGCCCTTCCTTATTGCTTCTGGGACCCTCCCACTCCCCCTCCTCTTCTTAATGTTAGCCCAGCCCCCAGTGGGCTCCCCACCTCTCAAGCAGAAAAAATGATAGAACAGGAGAGGGGCCAGTGCAGCAATTACAATCCTGGCCCCCCACGCAATCACTGCCCCACCCCACCCCCGTCTTAACTCCCAGCACGGGGCAGGGCCCAGGAATCTGCATTTTCAAGAGGCCCAGTCATTCTGCTGCTCTCGGGGAAGGCTGTACTCACACAACCTGCTCATTCTCTTAGGTGGCGGAAACTGAGACCCAGCTCAAGATACACAGAACCTTTGCAACTGGATTTTCCTCCTGTTCCTTCCCTTCCAACCTGTCCAATCTTGACAGTCCAAGTCCCAAGACACGGAAGACAAGACACGCTTGTCTCTCAAGGCGGGGGGTCCTCGAAGGCGGATGCCTGTCGGCGGGCAGTGTAGCCACACTGGGCTACCCTCAGAGTGAGGATTAACTGAGGCCATGTTTATAAAGCACTTAGCAAGCACCAGACACACATCTGCTCATTCCCTGCCCCCCAGGGCTCACTACCCTTTCTGCAAATATTTCAGGGTCCCCACCATGCAGCAGGCACCACTCTAAGCACGGGAGACAGTGGGGACCAAGACAAAAGCTCTCTCGTGGAGTCTACACTCCGGTCAGGAAGAGCAGATAATAACTAAATAAACCAGAAAATGAAAACAGCTGTTCTAGAAGGGACATTTCAATGGGGGGTGAGGGAAGACTTTGAGAGGGACTTATGAGGCCCACGGCAAACATCTCTTTACCACGCCTGCTGAATCAATCTCTCTCGCTTTCACACACACACACACACACACACACACACACACACACACACACGCTGCTCCTGGGTCTTGCAGCAAAGCCTCCAAATTCTGATTGATCCTAACTTGCACACACTTCCAGGACTGGGAGAGTCCAGCAGGTGGGTCTCCCACCGCCTAAGGCCATCAGCAAACCACAAGGAACCATCTGGGTGGTGAAGGCCTGCAGGGCTCCTTCACTCCTTCCCCGGCAGAAGGGTGCTGAGGCCGGAGGCGTCACATGACAGCGGGAGTCACCCTCCAGGAAGCCAGCTCAGCTGATGGAGATGGGACCTCATAGGCCTCAGAGCTCCCACCCCTCCTTCCCAGCTGCTGAAGCCTCCACCTGAGGCTCAGTCCAAGCAGGCCCGGGACACGGCCAGCCCGAAGCCCACCTCCACCAGCAAGCCCTCCCAGAGTCTCCCTTCCTGGACTGGCCCCCATGTCGGCAGGTCTTCCCTTTAGGTCTCCTCCCTCAGCCACCTGAGGCTTACTCAGGCCTAGCAGGAAAGTGCTTCGTAAACTGCAAAGCACCACACAATCGTGGGTCCTGAGGGCTATGCGTTCAAGGATGCTGTGATTAAAGGGAGGAGAAGGCACCAGCTTCTGTGCCACAGCCTCCTCCCTAGACGCACATACCCATGAGACTTGTGGAAGAGGAGGAGAAGGTGCTGGCTGAAGCTGGAAATGGTGAGGGCAGGCCTGGGACAGCCTCATCCAGCTGTCACTCGGTCTCCCCTGAGCATGCCGGGATCAGCAAAGAAGCCAGAACAGTCGGGGGTGGGAGCCCCTCAGCGGCTCGGGGTCCTCCAGTCTTGGAGGTTCAAAGAAGGGCTCATTTGAAGACAGAAATGCTCTGGACATCACAGCGCCCCCCAGGGCACATCACCACCGCTTTCGGCCACACGGGGGTGGCTGGAAAAAGCAATCACAGAGGGTAATGCTGGAGGGGCGTGGAGCTGACCTGACCAGGCAAAAAAAAGGGGGTTCCGTCGAGCCGGGACCTGATGGGAGGGCTCCGGTTCCCCTTCCCTCATGAGACCCAGGAAGGAAATGGGGTCACTACAGAGGTGATGAGGTTCCAGGACCCACCTGTTGCGCGGGGGCGGGCACCTGGCGCTGGGTGTAGAGGGACCGTGCGTGCCCGTATGCGTGCGTGGGTGTGCGCGCACGTGTGCTCAGGCCGCGTGTGCGGGGGCCATGGCGTGCATGTGTGTGCGGTGCGCGCGCGTGTGCCCCGCATGTGCACGGGCGTGGCGGCGGCGAGCGCGCGACCCGGCCGCGGTAGTGCGTGCCCGTCGCTTT